TTCATTCCATTCTATCCTATCCTATTCTATCCCATCCCTTCCTGTCCCATCCTCTTCTATTCTATATTTGAGTGATACCTTCTACTGGTTCAATCATCTGATCTAATGCATTTATTACTCCTGGGAGGACAGCGTAAAGCCTAACAGGTTTTGCAACTCTTTATATTAGCTCTCAATATAAAATTTCCCATAGACGACTTTCGTAACTCAGTTTTTTCAGATAGAGAAAATGAAGCCTTTTTACTAGAAACAATTAATACTATCTGAGAAAATACTTCACAAAAACTATTTCCAGAAAATTTTGTAGAATTTGACTGCATACCAAAGAAATTACTACCATTTGCGAGCTACCGTGAAGCGTGACGCGCCAAACCAGTTTTAAAACGTTTGAAACTTTTTGATTGCTTGTCAAAACTGTCAAGTTTGTCATGACATACTTTCAAAACAGCGCCACAAACTTTTTCTTTTCTCGAAGAATCTTCAAAGCCTCACAGCACTTCTGTAGTACATTGTCGTACACGAGAATTGGGTATAATACATGCAGTACTAGTACTAATATCGGTATGTCAGTTAAAGTCAAAATTTCTTACGGTGGAAGTAATTAAGACCGATGTAAAGTCATGACGTTTAAACGAGATGATTTAGTAGTGATGGATTTCGATTCCTTTTCAAACAGAAATATTCAGCGCTGTGTCAATGGAAAGCAAAGTACCAAGAATTCAATATTGACATGATGAAGACAGTTTCCTTACGATGACAAACGAGGACGATTTTGAAGATGCAGTTCGTTGCATATCATCTATAAAGAACTACGACAATCTTTTTAGATTGCCATCAAGAAAACATCGAGTCTTCGCATGTCCTCCGACAGTGCGGTTCCAGAATGAAATGCTCTTGCATGTTTTCTATTTTTTTCCCCTTGTGTACGACAATGTACTACAGAAGTGCTGTGAAACTTTGAAGATTCTTCGAGAAAAGAAAAAATTTGTGGCGCCGTTTCAAAAGTATGTCGCGACAAACTTGACAGTTTTGACAAGCAAACAAAAAGTTTCAAACGTTTTAAAACTGGTTTGGCGCGTCACGCTTCACGGTAGCTCGCAAATGGTAGTATGAAAGAACGAAAATAAAGAGTTTTGTATGTATTTATCACTGGAAGCCTTGGTGGCCTCGTTTGGTGCTTTTCAAAACTTCAAATGCTCACATCTTGTAAAGGATTTATTAAGTTAAGTAGAAACTCACACGCCTTATCTAAATCAACAAGATCAATGATTTAAAAGGGTTTTCACTCCAAAAGCATTGATTTTTAATGTTTATGCAAATTAGCAGCAGCCAGTTATGAAAGTCATGTATATGATTTAGATATTCACTTAGCTAGTGGATTGGGTGAGTATATTGGTATTATGAGATATAAAGATATACACATGAATGACTTGCAAAAAGGGAAACAAGCTAAAGTGTGGTTTAGCTAACAAAGCTGTAAAAGGTCATTTTATAATATGTACCACACAAATTTGCTCCTTGAACATTGTAGTACTTCATGGTAAAGGTGCCTATGATCCACAATATATAATTTACATGATATTAATGTTCAATATCTAAGTAGTCAACTGCAAGCTAAGCCTTTTTAAAAAACTGATAAAATTTTCCCCTTTTTTTAAGACTTCAGGACTGAAAGCCATCAACATGCTCTGCTTTGGCCTATCTCTTTTAACCTTTTACATGTATGGCAGTATTGTAATGTACATTGGTTTTCGTATTGAATACAATGATGAGCTTTTTTATAATTACCCAACTTCAGCAACACTACTCCCAAAGCTCCTGAGTACTAATGATGGAACTCCAGTTGATGATACAAGGCAGGGTATATTTGCCATGATTATTCTCTTTTCATTGGTTGAAATGTTCATTGGGGCTTGGATAATCATGTTGGAAAAAGAAAAGATGGTATTGGGCTCTTCATCAAGCTCAGATCAAGTAAGCTCAAGTATTAGATTATTTAAAAGAGCACTCGAAAAGCAAGAGATTTAACAAGAGGAGTAAGCAAATCAGTATTCATACTGCTATGGAGTGCTCTACAGCTCCCAAAGTGTTTAAATATTCCATAATACGGATACATAAGCAGTCATTTTATATTGCTTTCATAAAATATTTTTAAACAATTTTAGCCAAATAGCCTGTACATTATATTTGAAATATTTTATATTATGTTGACAATAAGGTGACTGCCTACTTTTGGAAAATTTTTTTTTTAAACTTTAATTTTCCGAATTGAAATTTAATGCTGATTCCAAATCTGGAAAGAAAAATTGGGTGTCCCAAGCTTATCTTCAAGATAATCAGCTTTTAATGGAAGCCTATGAGCGAGCTTTTGGAAGTGATTAGAAAAAAATTAAGAGTCATAAGATAATAGAACTTTATTTGCAGACTCTATGATTGCACGAATGACAGCTAGTGAATCATTCTACAATAATACGTGGATATTTTCAACTAAAAGACAAAGAGATACATTAATTTGTCATATTGTGTAGTTTCGGTGCTCTTAAAAAATCTCATAAAGTTGAAAAAAAATCCCTACAAAAATCTATTTTTTCATGTGTTAGAAAAATTAACTTTTTCTAAAATGTTGGTATATCCTAGATTTTTAAGAGTTTTTTTGAATAAGCTATCAAAAAATAGAGAGTCCTGTGAAAAATTGAGGGTTTTGCCCTGTTGAAGCTCAAAACGCATATGTATGGTTCTTCAATTAAATCTTGTAGATTTTTCACATCGTGTGCTCACATCGTACGTTCAAAAGTAGGCAGTCACCTTAAAGTGTTTTTGTGTTCAATTCAAACAGGTGCCATTGGTAACAAATGAACCTTACCAATATATTCAGCAACCTCAGTATGGCCAACCAAATGCTGGAATGGTTGTGTCTTCTCCCCAAGTACGACAACAGCAGCAGGTATAGCACAGAACATGATGACAAGACAGYAGGCAGGAGCATGAACACCATCAATACAAAAATATGTAACAATATTACTGTATTTTATCAAGTCCAAGAGCTCAGCATGGAGCAATTCACCTTTTCAGCGCTAGCCTTATAAATTGTGTTACAGTCACCAAAAAGTTCGGACATTGTTCTCGAATTTCTGTATGTAAATGTACTGACTCTAAATGAACTATTTACTTGGTTAATGTTTAGTTAGTTCTCTAAATACAAGTAAATGATCATTTTTCTAGCTTGATTGAAGCTTTTCTTACTGCTGTTAAGATAGCTATCTAAAGAAATCTACCTAAATTTCCTCTTTAAAGTCAATGAATTTGTATGGAAATCCGAGAACAATGTCCGAACTTTTTGGTGACCGTAACACACACAACCCAAGCTAGCGCCGAAAAGATGAATTGCTTCATGGTTAATTACTCTAGCCAATACTAGGCCCTTCAATTAATAACTGATCAATTGACAAAGGTCCTTTGGGGATAGCTCAGCTGCATCTTTGTATCTCAGAGGCATAGGCAGTGGGGTCCTCATCCATCATGGCAACAAAATGACAGATTTTTAGAATTTATATTGTTTTATTTTTTATTTTATTTTTTTTGTTGTAAAAATTCAAAGTCGTAATGCCGGCTTTTTCATTTTTTTGTTGTTGTATATTTAATTTTGTTTGTTGTTTGTTGTTTTGTTTTTGTCTTGTCTTTTTTTTGTTTTTTGTTTTTGTTTTTGTTTTGTTTTGTTTTGGTTTTTTTTAATTTGGGCTTCCCGCTTCAGAAATTCCTGCCTAAGCCCCTGTATCTCAACAGGGAAAGTCATTCAATTTTAATATTTTTTAGCCTGTTTATATGGTTGCACCTGGAGGTAATGCACCATTACCAGCAAGAGCCGTTGTGGCACCCATCAGCCAGCAGCAGCACCASCAGCAGCAGCAGCAGGTATAGATGATATAATCTAATTCTATGAGGAACTACTACTAGTATCTTTCACACTTAAATATGTAGTAATTGAGCCATTTCCATTATTTTCCCATGGTCACCATCCAGATAATCAATCTTGTGTTACAGCTATTTTCATAAAGATGCGACCTCGGTGCTCTTGAGTTGCACACTGAAATTTGGTTTTCTGCTGCCATCAATCAAACCTAATCAGTCGGTAACTTTCATATTTTTGACTGGCGGCAGCGAAAAACCAAATTTCAGCCTGCAACTCAGAGCACCATGTATCATGTTTATGAAAATGGCTGTAAACACCTGCATTGCCAGCATGGTTGTCCTGATGGTGTGGTTGGTAATACATTGGACTAGAATACAGAAGCTGTGGGTTCAAATCTTGCACTCAAGACACACATTTCTTCTTTCACTTTATTATTCTATATATTCAATTAATTGTTATTATTAGGTTTCAACTTTTTGCCAAACTTTTCTGTATTCCCTGAGAGTCATCTTGCAGTTCTTTATTAATAATCGATTTCTTTTCGACTTCCACTTTCTGCACAGAATTCAGAAAACTGCTTTCAACTCTGACTGTCTCATTTTGGAAGACCCTTAAAAGTTGTAGTAAACGTTTTGCAAGTCATAAGCTATACAGCTATTGGAAAAGTCAGGGGCTTATCCAGGAATGTTAGAAATGGGGGGGAGGGGGTTTGGCATTAGATAAATCTAACTACAGAACGAACCAGAGGAGGTCTGGGGATGTGATCCCAAGGAAATACATTGATTATGGTTTCCAGAAATGCTGTTCCCTGCATTCTGAGATTCAATATTTTGGATAAAATAAGGAGCTCAAAGCAAAAAGAGGGGTAGGCACGACCCCACCTGCCCCTCCCCTCCCCCTCCACCCCTCTCTCCCACAATTCCGCCTTTGAAAGTGAAGTGAGGAAAATGAATCAGACACAAGGTCAGATATTACATGTTTTTTATTGCTTTTGATTTTGTATTTATTCAAGCCAACTTTTGTTGTACTTCAACCATCAGCTGTCATGGCAACCAATCAGCCACAAGTAGTACAGGTATACCTTAGCACTTTGAGTGTCAATGATGGTCTTTAGTCTACCAAATCTTTCTATTTTATATATTTACAACAACCACTCTTGGTACGGGGGTCTTCCTYGTGGATCAATCCACATGCACTACCACTACATTCTATAAAACAGCATACCAAACTCAACTCGACAGTCATACAAAACTCAATTCAACTCAATTTTTACAGAGGAAGGAAACCAGAGAATGTGGAGAAAATCCTTGTGGCAAGTGAGAGAAGTACACATCAAACAAACTCAACTCACATATTGATTTTTGTGAAGGGAGGTAAACCAGAGAACCTGGAGAAAAACCCTCGTGGCAAGGGAGAAGAACTGCACAGCAAACAAACTCAACTCACATATTAGTCTCCCTTCATTTTTTCTCTTCGAAAATCATGAAAAAAGATCAATGAAAACATTATCAGGGACATCGGAGATGGGGGGCTAGGGGGGCTATAGCCCCCCACCTTTTCTACACCAAATTTGCACATCTCCTTGCACGTTTTATATACACCAAATTCAAAACTTGCACCGATGTGAGGCTTAAGTTGTGAACAAAGGGATCTGGTGTGACTCAAAGTAATCTGGCGTGATTCAAAAGTCACGAATCACGCCAGATTACTTTGTTCACAACTTAAGCCTCATTTTGAATTTGGTCTATCACTTATATTTTTTATATATATTCTGAATTGTAGCCGCCCCCACCCCCCCACCCCGTTAAAAATAACCTTCCAGCGTCCCTGATTATTACTACATCCCTTCTGTACTGCTACTTTAACCAGGGTGATATTTTTGGTCAACAGCAGCCTCAACCGCAATATGTGGTGATGCAAAATCAAGTTCCAAATGCTCCCCAGGCACAGATTGTAGCTCAAGAGGTGAGTAAAAGGCGACATGTGGGTGGCATAGCGGTGAGAGAGCTCGCCTCTCACCAACACAACCAGAGTTCAAATCCCACTGGGTTCAGTGTGGTATGTGAATAGAGTTCCTAGTTGGTTGTCTCCTGGTTGTCTCTCTTTTTCTTTGGGTTTTCCTGTATACCTCCCTCTACGAAAATTAACCACCTGGATCTTCATATCTCAGAGGCATAGGCAGGGGGGCATAATTCCTTTGGATGAAGAGTTACTCTGTAGATATGCCACTGCTAAATAAATCCAATTTATTTTTTTCATTTCGTTTGTTTGTTTTTCTATTTGTCTTTTTGTTTGTTTGTTTGTTTGTTTGTCTCTTTGTCTTTTTGTCTGTTCGCCTTTGTGTGTGTGTCTGTTTGTTTGTTTGTCTCTGTCTGTTTGTCTTTTTGTCTGTTTGTTTGTTTGTCTCTGTCTGTTTGTCTGTGTGTCTTTTTGTCTGTTTGTCTGTCTGTGTTTGTCTGTGTGTCT